CTTGACAGCACTTAACAACAACAACAACTCTTGTGCTGATTCGGACAGTTGCCAGAGGCAAAGCCAGCTGATGGGTTCTTATTTCTTTACTTTAGCCTTTGGAATTATAACATATTTGAAATGAACATCATCAATCCCTGGAAATCAAATGGGAATTGATTTCTTTCCTTGAGTCAGAGAAACCACAGATTTTCTTCCTAGTATTTCTCTGAGTTGAAGGAGGATCTCACTGGCTCTGTGACTAGCTTTGCCAGGAGTAAGTAGATCGAAGACCTGACACTCCTCTCCATCTCAGAAACTCCTTTTCTTCCTTGAAGATCCATTTCATATATTACTTTTCCAGCACTAAGAGAACCTGTGTACCACAAACCAGCTATGGTCACATACTTCTTATTTTCTTTAATATTTTAAAGAAGTATCTTGTTATTTTGAGGAAATCAATGAAACTTTAATGGAAGGAATAAGTTTTTAAAAATGTTTCTGAATCCTTAAAAGGTATTCATATAGTAGGCATGCATTAAACATTTGTTCAATGGGATAGACATTCAAATTCCCAACCTCTCTTATTTCACTTTGTCTCCAACTAGGTCTCTCATTCAATCTCTCTGGCAGTGACTCACCTTCCTTGTAGATACTTACACATTGTTCACGCTTTCACACTCCTATATATCTAGAAAATTCCTGTCCTCCTTTTTTCTTATGTTTTATTGTGAAGTATGTGATAGCTTACATGGGAGAACATTAGCTTTACTTTCATCCTATTGTATATCATTTCATTGCCATGGTTACTATCCCCTCCATGCATCATCAACCAACCAAAGGGTATACCCTGCAAGCCTGACCCCTGTTCTTCAGCACACAGCACCTCTCCCTCTCTGTGTCTAGAGTCCCCAGCTGCTCCATCTCTCCACGTCATCCTCTCTGCCTTCATCTCTGGCATCACTGCTTTTCTGGGTAGGGTCCCGCACTCCACTCTTCTCCCTTGATGGTCCCAGGGACCTTTGATCCTAGACTGCAAAGTCAATCACTCCCCTCCTCTGGCTACAAAATGTCCACCTTTACATTTCCAATCCTCACAGTCAGTCCTGATAGCAATTATTCACTACTGTGCCACATGAGTGCTATCCCCATCTCCTTTCATCAGCAATGCCCAGACACTTTGAATACTACTCAGTAGAGATTCTACCCTCCTCTGCACCCTCTGGATCTAGGCTGCCTCTTGAAAACTTGTAAGCTAGTCACTTCTTGCCTTTGCAGTATCCCCATTTTGGGTAGCTAATGTCCAAGTTGCCCATCCCTGTCTACTCTGTGTGTGGAGTGGGTGGGAATGAGCCTCGCTGTAAAGATTTGTTCCCACTTTTAAGCTACTGCATCCATTGGTGTAGGTCCAGTTCATCAAATTGTATCAGATAACTCTTTTTTTCCTCTTTTTTCTTCTTCTAGTTGAATTCTGATCATCCAGTCATTGAAGCCAGGACAAGTGGGTATTGTCTGCAAGTGTGGATGTTGCTGTGCATATGCTCTCTCTTCTTATCAGCTGCACGCTTCACTCTCCATTCTTGTCCTCTGTGGCTATGTCACTGACTCTGGGCCCAGGAGTCCCCAGGTCTTGCCATACTGCTGGCCAACTAGGTCTCCAACCAGGTTCACAGGAGTCTATTGAACATTGTAGGGCTTATTTCGCAGTTTTATTGCTGTTTTTCCCTCATTTCCCCTTATTGGTGACCAACGTGGTCACCAGTCTGAGCGCATGTCTGCTCGTATATTCCCATTGAGTCTCAGTCTTGGAAGGGTGTTTCCCTGAGGGGACCTGATCACTTCCCTTGATGTCTCCTGGGTGAGCAACTTGCTTGTAGTATGTTGTTGTTGTTGTTGTTGTTAAGTGCCGTCGAGTCGGTTCCGACCCATAGCGACCCTGTACAGGGTTTCCGAGGGTGTAAATCTTTACGGGAGTAGA